GGAATCATGCCTTAAGGTGATGTGAATATCCTGTTTTTTTCTGAAAAAAAATTTTTTTTCGAACTTTTTTTTTGTCGGTTGTGGGGCTTGAACTCTGGGCCTGGGCGCTGTCCCTCAGCACTTCAGCTCAAGGCTAGTGCTCTACCACTTGAGCCCCAGTACCACTTCTGGTTTTCTAATGGTTTATTGGAGATAAAGAATCTCATGGACTTTCTTACCCGGGCTGGCTTTGAACCATGATCCTGAGATCTCAGCCTCCTGAATAGTTAGGGTTACAGGCATGAGCTGCCAGCACCCGGCTTTTTCTGAAATTTTTATCCATTCATTTGAGCTTCCTGGATCACCTGCCGTGATCATCACCCAGATCACACGGGAATGGTGATTTTTCTATTACTGTCATTGCTCCACATCTATTACTAGAAATCTTCTATGAAGAAGAGGTCATTTGGGCTAGGAATGCGGCTTAGTGGTAGAGTGCTTGCCTAGCATGATGAAGCCCTGGGTTCTCAGTATCACATAAACAGAAAAAGCAGGAACTGGTGCTGTGGCTCAAGTGGTAGGATGCTAGCCTTGAGCAAAAGAAGCTAGGGACAGTGGACAGGCCCTGAGTTCAAGCCCCAGGACTGGCAAAAAAAAAAAAAAAAAGGTCAATTTGTATCTGACCTGCTTTCTCCTCACAGAAGGAAACCCATAAGACTAAAACTATAGGTACAATTTGAAATGTCTTTAAAAACAAACTTACTTCACAAGTATATTTCAGAGACAGCAGCCAGACCACTACCCATTTATTTTTTAAATAGTTTCTTCAAGATATACTTCATCTACCATATAACACACCCATTTGAAATACATACATCAATGGTTCACAGGTGTACACTCATCACCTTTATCAGTTTTATTACTTATAACAAATGCTTCCTTAATTTCTAAACCATATATATATATATGAATGTATATATACAAAATACAAGCTTATTATCTTTTCAACTTCTATAATAAGCTAGAATGCCCTCTATTCCCTCATACTGAGCCAACTGAACCTATTCATAATTTTACATATAGATACAAGGAGGTAAAAGAAGTGATATTTAGCCGGTGCCAGTGGCTCATGCCTGTAATCCTAGCTACTCAGGAGGCTGAGATCTGAGGATCACGGTTCAAAGCCAGCCTGTGCAGCAAAGTCTGTGAGACTCTTATCTCCAATAAACCACTAGAAAACCGGAAGTGGTGCTGTAGCTCAAGCGGTAGAGTGCTCTCCTTGAGCTGAAGAGCGCAGGGACAGTGCTCAAGCCCAGAGTTCAAGCCCCATGACTGACCAAAAAAAAAGTGTTATTTATTTAGTATGGTTCAAAAAGCCTTACAGGGCTGGTAGCATGGCTCAACTGGTAGGACACCTGGCTAGCAAGCACAAGGTCCTGAGTTCAAACTTCAGTCCTTCCATGCACATGTGAATGCATGCATGCACACACACATGCACACAACTACACACACACACACACACACACACACACACACACACACACACACACACAGAGTCACAAAAAGATGGTTCCTTTTTTCTTTTGTGCCAGTCCTGGGGCTTGAACTCAGGACCTGGTCACTGTCCTTGAGCTTCTTTTTGCTCAAGGCTAGCACTGTACCACTTAAGTCACAGAAACACACACACACCCTTTTTTTTTTCTGTGTATGTGGTACTGAGGAATAGAACCAAGGGCTTCATGCATGCTTGGGAAGCATTCTACCACTAAGCCATATTCCTAGCCCAAAAAGATAGTTCCTAAGGCTAGTGATTTCACAGGGTAAGTATGAGCATTTTGAAAACAGGACAGTCCCTTCTAACTCATCACCATGGGGACAAATCTATATCATTAGCCAGGAACAGGCTGGGTATATAACCCCAGGATGACTGCTTCCTAAACACCTCCCCTTAATTCTCAGTCCTTGGAATGAAGCTCCTTCCACTTTACATTCTCAGATAGTGTCATAGCAAGGTGATGTTTAGCAAAGACATCTGTACTCAAAGAGGCCTAAGAATGCTGCACATTACCTGCCCCTGTTGGAGACTGCAACTCCTGCTGCCTACTAAGGGCTCTAAGAAACCCTGTAGTAATTCTTTTGTGGACTGTTTAATCCAGAATTTCTCAGACTCACTTTTGACCACAGAGCCCCTTTTAGGGCTTAACACCATCCTGCCTCCCTCCCCAGAGTCCACACTGAGAAACTAGTTACTTAGAGAAACACTGCCTTACACCAGGCCTCTTCAGCAAGGCAGGGGAGGACAAGAAAATAGGGTCGGAAGGCTACAAGTAATTCAGCAGCAAAGGAAACACAGCCTGATTCCAGAAGGAGCCAACAGAGCTTGGTAAAGGATGAGGAGAATTAGGTGGGATTCTAGCATACTGGAATAGCTAACCTTAATGCAGATTATATCGCTAAGTCAGCAAACTAGTGCCCTGAGTGTGAGGCATGGCAAGTTTGTAGGCTAAATCCACCCAAAAGGGAACACACAACTGGCATTTTGCATTGTACTACATTAAGCCTGGCACTGGTGGCTTATGCCTGTAATCTTAGATTCTCAGGAGACTGAGATCTGAGAATAGTGATATGAAGTCAGCTTGGAGAGATATCTGAGAGACCATTATCTCCAATTAACCAGCAAAAAGTCAGAAGTGGCTCAAGTGGAAGAGAGGGACTGTGCTCAGGCCCTGAGTTCAAGCCCCAATCCTGGCACAAAAATGACAATAAAATCTCTTACTGAAGGGCAGATCTTATAGGTGGAATGATAATCTACATAATCTTTTTTTTTTGTCAGTCGTGGGGCTTGAACTCTGGGCTTGGGCGCTGCCCCTGTGCTGCTCAGCTCAAGGCAAGCACTCTACCGCTTGAGCCACAGCGCCACTTCCAGTTTTCTAATGGTTTATTGGAAATAAGAGTCTCACAGACTTTCCTGCCCTGGCTATCTTTGAGCTGTAATCCTCAGATCTCAGTCTCCTGAGTAGCTAGGATTACAGGCACGAGCCACCCGTGCCCAGCTAGTCTACATAATCTTTAAAGCAGACTGGATTTTTCACTTTAGAATTTAGGATCATAGTGGATACGACTTGCTCATAGTTACCCAGCATATGTGATTCTGAGGCATTTGGATCTGCTCCCCTCTGACTTGAGGGAGGTAGAGTAGAGAGACGAGCCCCCAGTGGTGGTTAAGCTGGGTTTTCAGCTATTTGTGATCCTTTCACTCCAGCTGTAGAATCCAAATGATTCCAACATCCTAGGATAGCTTCAGACATCCTATCATCCCACCCAAACCATCCTCTATCCAAGATACTGTACTTTACCATCAAGCCATCTTTCTTCCCCTGGAGTGGTAGGGTGACCTGAGTTCAAACCCTACCACCAAAACTAACAAACAAAACCAACACCTCAAATGCTCTTTAGGGATGAAGGAAAAACTTCTTAAGGCAATGTAACACAGAATCACTGTTACTAAGACTTCAACGTGTGTAGTCATTGCAACTCCTGACAAGGTGGAAACAAAATATGCATCATCCAAAATGATTTCTTTGGTCTTTGAGTTCTATTTCGCTACTTCAATACAGCTCTGTTTGGAACCTGGAGATAACTGTTTCTCCCCATGTAATAAAACTGTACTTAGAAAGCCACGTTTTTGTTTTTCTCTCCTGCACCAAGTTCAGAAACAGTGTGAGAGCCAGTAGCTCCTCTGTCTGATGCACCAGCCTGAGCGAGAAGGCAGACAGGCGTCAGGACTGTCCTGCACAAGCGGAAGGAGCACAGGGTTGGGGGAGTTCTAATACTACTGTCCTAGAGCACTCTCCCCCCCCCCCCTTTCCCTTTGTGTGGCTGGACCCCAACCCCTAGGTGACACTGGGCGATGCCTACAAACACTTTTAGATGGTACAACTGGGGAAAGGGGATGTTACTGGTATCCAGTTGGCAAAGGCTAGGGAAGGTACTGACCACCTGACATGTGGTTGTCAATACAACCAAGGTCAAAAAATGTACTGAACTAGGCTGGGAAGGTGGCTCAGTGGTAGAGCGCTTGCTTTGCATGCATGAGGCCCTGGGTTCAATACCTCAGCACCACATAAGCAGACAAGCCAGAAGTGGCGCTGTGGCTCCAGTGGTATGGCGCTAGCCTTCAGCTGAAGAGCTGAGGGACCAAAAAAAAAACACAAAAAACAAAAAACTGTACTGAACTAACAAAGCACACAAGGAAAAGAATATATGGCTTCTCTCAATAAAACTGAAGGCAGTAGTCACCAGAATCAATGGATGGTGGGCAGGATGAATTCCAACATGAGAAAGTAACTTGGATCCCCTCACTGCGTGCCACATCATAAAGACAGCAAATATCTAAACTGTAAAAATAAACAAAGTACCAGTGGGTAAACAAAAATCTAATGTGAAAATAGAAGAATAATTCAGAATAAGAATGATTTTCAATACGCAAGGTGAACCATGTGTTTATGTGGATGACCTGCTGTCGGTCTAGAAGGCAGGCGATCTCAGTCCTAGTAATGAAATACCACAATGTCCTGAGAGCATATATTTTCATTGAGCTCGTCATAAGATTTACCCACACCAACAAAACTTTAGATCGTCACAAAATTGTGGATTTCCAGAGACACAGGAGAATCTGAAAAAGTGGGCTCTGAAATAAACTAGAATCCAGCTCTCCAAGCAAGATACAAGGAAAATTACCTTTGCTGTCATTTATCATTAGCTTTTAGAAGTCACCAAAGATGCCTCAGGCCGCAGAAAAAGAAAATAACCGAAGTCAAGTTGAAAAGCATCTCCATGTAACGCAGAAAGGAAATGGAAGTGTGTAACAGGTCAAAAAGCAAGAATACTAAAAATGAAAAAGGCATAAAATTTAAAAATGGTAAAAATCAAATTGAAGGGTAATCTGAGGCCAAGCCTTAGTTTGCGTGCTCTACCTGCGGAGTTAATATAAAGTTTTAGAAGAAAGAAAAAAAACTAACCTTAAGGTTATCAAAGGTTTTGACAGTCTGTGCCAAGTCACTGACACTCCCTGGCGACGCTGTCCCCTGTCCCCTAGGGCCCGAGGACACCTGTGAGCCGTCAATGGCCTCGAGGCCAGAAAGCAAGGCCTCTGCACAGCTGCAGTGAGACTCCTTGGCTCTCTGACCCGATATCAGGTATGTCTTCAAACCTATGATGGACAAAAGTTACAATCAGCATAGAGTGAACCATCGGCGGTCGAAACGCAGCTCCATCTTGCTTGCGCTCTCTCTGTAGAGAACACACTCCTGCAAGGTGGAAGTAAAGGAGAATGTGAGTTTGTCACCCTGCCTTTCCCCAGCTGTCGCCTCAGGGAGGCCATATGCCTCCAAGACGCACCGTTTACCGTCTCATGTTTTCTTTGAATAATGGCTGCCTGCTTTACCTTGGGGCTCAGGAGCATTACAAATTCCTCCATGAAGCGGGTGACGTGACCTCTTTGGGAAGGCAGCAAAGCGACCCGACAGCTCTCCACACTGCTTGGGTCGGCTATAATCTGCAAACACGCATCTGACTTTTTGTTTTTTTTTCCAGTAGTAAGGTCTGAACTCAGGGCTCCAAGCTCACACTCGCCAGGCCAGTACTCTACCACTTGAGCCTCCGTCCATGTTTCTAGCATTCTTTCTTTTTTTTTTTTTTTTGGGTCCGGTCGTGGGGCCTGAACTCTGGGCCTGGGCGCTGTCCCTCAGCTCTTCAGCTCAAGACTAGCGCTCTACCACTTGAGCCACAGCGCTACTTCCCGCTTTTGCTTTTTGCTTATGTGGTACTGAGGAATTGAACCCAGGGCCTCAGGCATGCAAGGCAAGTGCTCTACCACTGAGCCACCTTCCCAGCCCCCATGTTTCTAACATTCTTAATTGGCCATTTCTGATCAAAGGGCAACACCAACCTCATGCAGGATCCTTTGCTCAGGCAACTGACCAAACGCTCACTGTGCAGCCTCAGCACTACAAGAGAAAGGAAAGACGAGCATGTACTCGTACTCCCTAATGCAGAGAGGCTGAGCAAGGACACCGACGAGCCCTGAACCTAAGAGGACAGAGATGCGTTCCCAAGGCTGAGGGCATCCTTGCAGGGAGGGCTGAGCAGCAGCTGCTTGTCTCCAATGTCAGAAACCCCAGTCCTGTCGTAATGTACACGTCCCTGAAACTTGTCATTGCTTGGGAATTGTGATTCTGGGTCACTGTTCACTCACTAAACATTTACTAAACACATCCTGTTTACCAAACACTGTGGTGGACGCACGGAAGATGAGCAGACATGTCAGCCACCTGGAGTCTACTCTGTGAGAGGGACTTGAATGACAAGCGGGTGTGACTGTGGTCAGACTGTCAAAGTACCGGATGGGGCCTGTGGAATGCAAAGACTCAGGAAGGGGGGTGCTGTGTTTGGTTGTGTCTCCCCCAAGTTCGGGGGCTGCCAATGTGACGGTATTAGGAAGTGGGGTTGCAAGCGGGAATGAGGCCATGAGAGCAACTCCTTCATGGGTGGATGGAGGCCCGCCTACAGAGGCGCCACATGGCATTCAGCCAGCCTTCCCTCCCCGTTCTGCCCTGTGGAGACACCATTTTTTCCCTCCAGGAATGTAGCTCTCACCCCACATCAAACCTGTGTCCAAGTCTTGATCTTGGACCTCCTAGCCTTCAGAGCTGTGGGAAATACATCCCTGTTTCTTAGAAATCACCCAATAATCATTCTTAGAGCAGCAGAGACAGATTAAGACAGAGACTTCCGCCGGGCGCTGGTGGCTCACGCCTGTAATCCTAGCTACTCAGGAGGCTGAGATCTGAGGATCGCGGTTCAAAGCCAGCCCGGGCAGGAAAGACCGTGAGACTCCTATCTCCAATAAACCACCAGAAAACCGGAAGTGGCGCTGTAGCTCAAGTGGTAGAGCGCTCGCCTTGAGCTGAAGAGCTGAGGGACAGCGCCCAGGCCCAGAGTTCAAGCCCCATGACCGACAAAAAAAAAAAGACAGAGACTTCCTTGGTGATGTGTCTCTCAGGTGAGATCAGCCTAGGCCATACTGGGACAGTCTCCCCAGGGAATAAGTGTTCCATGGAGGTCCTGTCAATAAAAGAGCCTTTGGCAAGCAGAGTCAAAGTGATGCTGCTGAGTTTAGCAGGGCTGGGACAGCCAGACTGTATTTTGTGTGTGTGTGTGTATGTGTGACAGAGAGAGAGAGAGAGAGAGAGAGAGAGAGAGAGAGAGAAAACAGCCAAGATAGTAGGGTCTGCATTCTGGAGGCCCTAGGGAAGCAGGGAGGAAAGAATGAAGGAGAGGCCCAAGGCTGAAGGTGAATCAGGAAGTTGGGGGGCCATGGAAGTTAGGAAGTAATGATAGCAACGGAAAACTCAGCCCCCAAAAGAGGCAGTGACAGGTGCTTCAGTGCTAGGGAGCTGATGCCAAGGGGCAGGGGTTTGGCCTCTGGAGAAGACCCCTAAAAGCTGGGCTTGGGCTCCATCACCTAACATAGAACCTACATGAGCTACTTCATCCCTCTGTAACTCAGTTTCTATAGAGCGAGGCTGAGAGCAGGACTGCTCATGGGACTGATGTGAGGCTCTAGTGTCTCATATGCTCAGGTTTACAGCAGGTCCTAGTACAGTGTGCACACTTGATAACGGGAGCTATTATTATGTGCGATCCATTTGTCACGAGGGGCCATTTGCATGCTCCCTCTAGGTACAAAAGCATGTACAGAACTGTTAAGTCAATCATTGTTGCCAATCTGTTTCTAACTTGGATTTTTCTTTAGGGAACTCTGAATGATAGGCGTGTGGTAACAGTACCGCTGGTATTACAAAGGCTGATCATAGTAGATGTCCACAACAAGGAAGTTTTGGTCGACTAAACTTATTTAGGTTTCAGTGTGGAGAAGTAATTATAGTGGAGACTGTTGCCCAAACTGGAAGGATTTGGGGCTGATACAGTTAGGCAGGGTTGAGTTGCCCAAAAGTACACACCTGGAGAAAGGTGTCAGGATGAAGTCACTAGGCTCAAGGCTGGTGAGAGGCTCCAGGCACCGGAGCTAAGGGTTTAATGAGCAACCCCACACTTGCTTCCAAAGGCTCTGGCTCCACTAGAGCAGCTCTTTCTGGAGCAGAAAGTCAAAATAAGGCAGCTCAGTGGTTTATTTTGTTAACTACTTTATACACAGGAAAACAAGTCAGATTGCCCCCATTTTTTCTTAGTGGTTGACTCCAGCCCCACCAGCACTGATACTTTGGATGAGCTTTGTTTTTTACTAACGTGTTTCCAACTGGTGGAAGAATTTTGTCTGTAGCCGTGTGCTAAGATTAATGTGTGTCTTAAGTAACCCCAGTCTTCCTCATCCAGGGATACCAGTCACATGCAGACAGAAAGTTCAGAAGTGACTAAAGCCTGCTCACAATGAGTTGTAGACAACAAAAGGTGACTAGACCAGAATACTATAGAACACACTGGAACTTGAATTACCAGGAGCCTCTCTGAGCAAGACTGCGAGGAGAAATGGGTCACGAACTGAGATCAACAACAAGTCACCTATAGTTCACCTTCCAGACCCAAGAAGAGGTCAGGCAACTAGTTGAGAAGACCCAACTAGTCAACTGATGTTCACCAAATGAGCACACTGCCCACGCACCAGACGCAAGAGGAGGCCAGGTGGCCTGGGTGGAGGCAGCAACCAGAGTCAACAGAACCAAGAAATAACAGTTAGTCTGCATGTTAGGAGGTACAGACTTAAGTATAAGTAGGACATAGGGATATGTCTGGTAATAGACATCACAGGTTCTACAAAAAAAGGAAATGGCAAGATTCAAAATCTGAGACCAGGGCTGTGGGTGTAGGTCAGTGGTAGAGTGCTTGCCCTATGTGTACAAGGCCCTAGGTTCAATTCCAATCATGGCAACAGTGAATGAGTAAACAAACAAACAAATAGCCATACACTACACAATTCCATTTACAGGAAGTGTCCAGAAGGGGCATACCTGAGAGAGAGAAAGCAGATGGATGCTTTCCAAGGATCGGGAGGGTGGGCAGAGGCAACTGCTAACGGGTATATGGCTTTAGAGGGGATGAGTATATAAAATTAGATTATGATTATAGTTTTGAATATGCTAAAAATGCCACTGAACTGAACAATTCCTGAAGTTCCTTCTTTTTTAAAAAAGGCCAAGTGCTGGTGACGCATCCCTGTGCTTCTGACTACTCAAGATGCTGAGGTCTGAGGATTGGCTTTTCAAGCCAGCCCAGGCAAGAAAATCTGAGACTCTTATCTCCATTTAACCACCAAAAAACTGGAAGTGGTACAATAGTAGCCTTGAGTAAAAAAAAAACCTCAGGGACAGTGCCCGGGTCTTGAGGTCAAGCCCCAGGACTGGCACAAGTAAACAAATAAAATGATGTGAGCTATAATAAGATGTAACAGTTCCAAGATTCTGAGAAGAAATAAAGCCAGGAAGAAATATGTACTTCCAAGGTAAAGGAGTAGGCAGTGGCAGGTAAAAGAAAACCGTAAGGCTAGCCAGGCACTGGTAGCTCAAGCCTGTAATCCTAGCTACTCAGGGGGCTAAGAATCATAGTTCAAAGCCAGCCTGAGCAGGAAAGTCCATGAGACTTTTATCTCTAATTAGCCACCAGAAAATCGGCCTTGGGTAAAAATGCTCAGCAACAATGCCCAGCACCCCTCTCGAGCCCCTGACAACAACAACAACAAAAAAGGCTAAAAACAGCAAAGGTGGTAGAGCTGTGATGGAAAAATATACAAGAAATAAGGCTAAATAACCTTGAAGAACTGAAGATGCTCTGTGGCAACAGTTCAGAAGCCTGGGAGAGATTAAACACAAGCAAACAATGGGAAGTGTGACCTTCAGAAGATACTTCTAAGAATCACCAAATCTGTAGCTCTCACTTGTGCAGTGTAGTTCATAAAGGAGGGACCACAGATCGACAGGGTATGGTATGTTAAGCTACCATCGTGGCCGCCTCCATGTGTGCTACAAGGTGCAGCCAGGCCACCGCACACCCAGTGCCAGGCCACTGTGACAGCGGCCACAGAATCTTAGTTATTTCTGGTCCCTTTCTACCCAGGACATTTACTGGCAAGAGCACCTTCTGCTCTCCCACAGGTGGCTGCATGCCACCTCTGATGAGCACGTTTGGCTGGGAAGG